CGAAATTTTTTGAAAATTTCATATTAAAATATTTAAAATTTCAAGCATCAGCCGTTTCAAGCTTCAGCCGCGACAATTCTTTATTATTAAAATTATTAATATGCTAATTGTTATATATATGCAGATATTTCTGATGATAATACTACTATTGGATTGGATGATTCGTTCTTTATAAACCCAAAGAAGCGTAAACAAAAGATATCTTACGAAGAGCGCATCGAAGAAGACAGAAAGAGATCCGAATTAGAACTTCTTGTTATAGATGATGAAGGAAATAACCATTTTGATATGAAAGAGATTATCAAAAATGAAAAAAAGAGGAAAAAGAGGAATCAGAAAGATGTTCAAGAAGACTCTTTTGAAATTAATGTCAATGATTCTCGTTTCGCAGCTCTTCACGAATCTCACCATTTCGCAATAGATCCTACTAACCCTCAGTATCCTTATTTTTTTGGAATTATTATTATTTGAACAATTAAATGTAATTATTATTCCTTGATTGATATTAACTAATTTTAAATAGATTTAAAAAGACAAAAGCAATGTCTAAATTGCTGGAAGAACAACGAAGAAATTAACGAAAAAACAATAATTAAATGTGATACGGGCGAAGAGTTTGACCAAGAAGCCTTGAGAAAATATCAATTGGAGCGATTAAAGTATTAATCAAAGACTAAATCGTTTTTACTAAAGTAGTATAAATTATAACGTTTATTATTTCCTATGGCAGATATTATTATGCAGTCGTTGATTGTGATACAGTGGAAAACGCGTGTCATATATATAAACAATGTGATGGTACAGAGTTCGAAAGTACGGCAAATGTTCTCGATTTGCGCTTTATACCTGATGATATGACATTTGAAGATGAGACAAAGTATATAATATATATATATTAGAATTGAAACTTAATTTTTTATCCACAAAGCTTTAACTTTAGCAAAATTTTTTCTTGTTCTCATTCAGAGACGAATGTTTTCAAGCACCAGACGTCTATAAACCTGTGGATTTTGTTACGGGAGTGAGAATTAATAATATTTTTTTAATGAATATTTTCGTATTTTAGTATATCCTACCTCCCTAAATGCAATACCTCTATGTATTTTGTCGTTTATAAATGTAATTTATCTCTGCACTTCCAGAGCTAAACCTTATGCTGTACGTTTAGGGAGTCGGGTAATATTTTTGTATATATTTATTTATATTTATTTATCGTGTTTTCTATGTTCATTACAGGTATTGCAACATTCTGATGTAAAATTAACTTGGGATGAAGATGATCCAGACCGTGTCAGGATAGTACGGCGGAATTTCTCAAGGAAGGATATTGATGAGATGGATTTTAAAGCATATCTTGCTTCACCTAGCGAAGGATCTGATGAAGACGCCGAAACACCTTTGCATAAATACAAAAATCTTGTTAACGAAGCAGATAATGATCATTCTGATGATGTGGATATGGAGATTACATTTACTCCGGGACTAAACGAAAAAGCTACAGACCAAGTATTGTATAATTGAATCATTCTTTTTGTTATGTATTCATTAACGCTAATTAATTTGGTAAATAGCCCATTGAAGAGGAAACCACTATAGAAAAGTATAAACGTAAGCAACGCGAAAAAAGGAAAGCAAGAAAAGCCGCAAAACAAGCGAATATATCACGGAGCATTAACAATGGTAAGAATTTCTATTCATAATTTTAGTGAATAATTCTTGTCGCGGCTGAAGCTTGAAACGGCTGATGCTTGAAATTAGGGACCTCGATTTAAAAATATAAATCCTACCAAAAT